GGGGGGGGGGGGGGGGGGCTGGGGACTCCTGGTGGAAATTGCAAAGCAGCCACATACCCCCACCAGCCCGAAGCCATATATTTATATAGTACAAAAGATCTTTGCCCCATTTCGTATTTTGGGACTTGATGAACAGTCGGAATGGGAATACCAGAACTGAGTGGAATCTGATTCGATTAGTTGGATGTTGTTGGGAGTTTCTGGGACGTTGCCAGGAAAGGTATGAACTTGGACCCTGCACCCGGTTGCCTAGCAGTTCCAAAGCCCGTTCGGGGATCTTCTTTCCTCCAGGCGGGGTCCATGGATGCGCGATGTTGGACAATTTCAACAGACTTCATGGTCCAGTCATGAAAATATAGTGTCTCCATGATATGCCACGTTCAAGTGGATAAGGGGTAGGAAGGAGAGATATCAAGTTCTGGCCGACCACTGGAACTGACCCGACTGCGACTCGCATTGGTGAAAAACACAGGATATCTAACCTAGCCATTTGCAATATTTGAAAGGCAAATTATGGAGAAATAGGCAGTTTCCCGCTGCTTAGTCACGTTTTTCCAGGGGTACTTTACATTAATAGCCCATTCATATCTCATTAGCCTCTGGCGAGCGTGGCAAGGGGAAATCTCACATCCCCGAAATGGGCCTTTCAATGAGAACCAGGCTGGCCTACCTCCATGCCGGATGGCTATGATGAATACATGGCCTACGAATTGGTGGTTAGCATCGTGGCCACCCCCATGATGCTTGGACATGGTGTTCTTTAAAAGGTTCCGGGAAGACACCGACTCCATAGGTAATCTTCGACTTCCTCATCGGGAAACCTTGGATGTGCAGTTTCATGCCGATGCATTGTGAATGCGGTGTGAAGTCAGGTCTTTACCTTCAGCCAGTTCCGATGTGTTCTTTTCTGCACACGTAGCACATGAATCCAACATGAATGTGCATGATCCATTTTGTTGTGCAATGTTTGTCCACCGGCCAAATCGTGACTGTGTGGCCAAGGAGCCTGCTCAATTACTTCATTTTTTGGAAGCAACTTGGACGAACAACATCCATTTGCTGGAGATTGTGGAGGGCAACCATGGTATGATATAGCAGCAGTAGCAAGAGGAGGGAAAACAATTACCCTGAAGGGCCCGAAGGGATAAACGTGCAGGAGCAGGACTGGCCCAATGAACAAGGCAAAGGCCGATTGAAATGACTGAGGCATCCAAGATGCAGGGACTACCTAGGATCCTAGTTTGTTTTTTAAAATATGTCTGTATACATTGTAATATAAGGCTCTGATTAGGTAACATTCCTGAAACTGAATTACCCTCGATCAAAGCTGGTAATTGAAATATCAAAGTTATCCATCGCCATCCATTCCCAACTAGCAGCGGGCAGCAGGGAAATCGCATCCAGCCATGTTTGCGAAGCGGAGAGCAGCAGCCCATTCATTTTCCAATTAAGTGGCTATGATGTTTAGGGAGGTGATGAAAAATGCACAATCAGCAGATTTGAGCCCACTTTGGCAGGGTTAGTGCGTCTGTACACACGTATTTTTTTGTTAACTCGTCCTTGCACGCGAAGCTTCGCCAGTCTTAGATCATGCTACTCGTCCTGAGTCCTGTCTTTCTACTCTACCCCAACCCCATCCCAAGACATGATGAGTGTGTGTGCGCGTGCGTGCGCATGGGAACATGAGCGTTGTTGGCACCCCATCCCAGCCCAGCCCCAACCCCATTCGTGTACAGATGAGTCAAGTTTGAGTGCGTTTGAGTGCACAGATGAGTCAAGAATGGAGTAAAAAGTGAGTGCACAGATGAGTCAACTCTGAGTGCGCAGATGAGTTTTTGACCCTTTGGAAGACCTACTGGTTGGTGGTTTGGAACATTTTTTATTTTTCCACATATATATATATTGGAAATAATATATATATATATATATTGGAAATAATAACCCCCAACTGACTAATATTTTTCAGAGGGGTTGAAACCACCAACCGGCCGCGGCCTAGATTTGTTTGTCGTTCTCCCCAAGTTTTGGATGTGTTTGAGTTTCATGTTGTTGAGCATCAAAATGATGCTCTTGAAATTAGATGAAAATAGCATAGACTAGATATGAAAGGATAGAAATTCCATCAATTTCAGAAACTTCCTTGGTGTGTAGATGTGTTTAGCTTACATTGTTGTAGCCAATTTTGAAATTTACTCATTCCATAGCTCAAGCGAACAGTCATGGGAAACCTCCAAGAATAAGAATGGTCAACGATTCAACGATTTTGGAGGCTGAAAACCACGTTTTCTGATATTGATATGACATTAATGGTTAATTTAATGGGATATGTCATCAACAATTTGATATGTGATAGTTTCCTTGACACCAATCCCTCCTTGGCGTTGCAAGGTATGTGGCTGGGGTGGGAGATGGCACCAAAAGCCCGGCCCCTTGACAATGCCGTGACAGTCGTGGTGCATGGTGAATCACTTGGCGGTTCTATGGGTTCTATGGTGATTTCACCGGGAATTGACCAACAGAAATGATGGGAGATGGTGGTTACCCTCTGGTAAACTAACATAACTATGGAAAATCACTATGTTTAATGGGAAAACTCACTATAAAAGGCCATTTTCAATAGCTTTTTGGGAAATTCAGGGGAGAGGGTAGCTGTCCCGAATCGTCCTCACTTCAGGTGAAATTTTGACATCCTGTCAGATACTGTAAATGAAGGTTCACCAACCATAATATGGATGTGTGTGTGTGTGACAAAGACTGATCTAGTTGGTGGGTTCAAATACGTTGTTCCCATCCCCACAAACAGGATGATGATCTTGAATTGACAATTGTATGTTTCTGGCAGTGGCCAGTAGGCATTTGAACACTCATGTAGGCTATGTAGGCGACTACATACTGTAGAAGAAGGGATGCTTGATCAATGTTCCAGTATAATGATTGTTTACTCATGCTTTTCAAAGGGGAAGGAACCCAAGAAAAGAAATATGGTTGGTTCTTATTCCCATGAGTACCCTTCCGGGACATCTTTGAATGTGGGTATTTCTGCAAGAGTTTTGGTCGCTGCATGTCACTGGACCAATGGAATCACTTGGACAGAGATGGAGAGTCAAGGCAAAACCTGTTAATTGTTGGGGGAACACACATCTATTTACCAGCTATTTCTTCAAAACCCTGGGGGGTACAGGTTTGAATGGATTTGACTGTGACTCATGATGACCAAGGCTTTTGCGTGCTTCTTGATGTTGTATTTGGATTTTGTGAGTATACTCTGCGGCCTACTTAGCAGCTTGGTCGGCGTCGTTAGTAGGTGATCTTGGGGGAGATAGCGGTTGCCCCCAGTTTCGCCCAGTTGAACAAGTAGCGGTGCCCACAACACCTGTGAGGATTAGTTAATGGTTACATGGGGTCCTTTGAAATGACCTTTTAAACTGGTTTCAGAGTGGTTTTGGACTGGTTTCCGGGTTTGAGAGTGGTTTCAGGCATTTGCTTTTAGATGCGCGGTGCTGGTTTGATGAAGACTTTACTGTAATGCTGTACGTAGTTCATCATAGTGATCCCTATCAGCCAACCAGCCCAGCATAAAGGGGATTATATAATTGTAGCAGGTTTGGGAACAGGTCCTGTGATGGGATAGCTTGAGCCTCATTCTAGTTTGAGTCGCTAAGTTCAGCACTTCTTCTTGCAGAATCTAGGAGTCCCATCCAGGCCCTCTTACTACATCCCGTTTCAATAGCTTCGATCATTTTCTATCATTGTTTGAACATGTTTTAACATGTATAGAACTTTGCCTTGGTGTGCATGTGCTGGTCCTCTTTGCTTCACTGGAAACCCCCGGTTTCCTTAGGTGGGTTGCCGATGTTCGCCAAGCACTACGATCATAGGTAGCCGATGTTCGCCGAATAGTGATATGTTCGATGAAGCTGTTGGATGGTCGTTTTTGACGGTCATAAGAAAATATAGAAATATCATAAATTTACCATAGTAAATCATAATGTTATCATAGTAAACCATAATAAATCATAGCAAATCATAATAAATCATAATAATTCATAATGTATATGATAGTCGTGTTACATTGTCAAGATTTGTCAAGTCTCGTTTTTTTTCAGAGATATATGCCATGGTCAAATTACACGGTGACTTTTTTCGCATCCAGAACAAAGATTCAATGGGATGTAATGTTAGATAGGTATATGTTCAAGGGATGGCAAGCTATACTAAAGATTGGATCAATTCAGTTATATCGGACTTACATCATGCTAAGTTATATATCAAAGTTATATATCAGTGATATCTCCTTAAGTTATGAAAAGTGTCAAGTTGTTTCAATCCCAAGGAGCGCTTGCCCTTGGGGCCCTTGGGGCCCTTGGGGCCCTGGGACAGGTGGTTGTGCCTCAGCTTCTTCCTTAACGCCTTTGCCACGGGGACCATCGTCGTGGCTCAGGCCCGGCACCCCCCCCCACAAGGTAGGTACCTACCGTAAGGTCTTTCCTGTATCCACCCTAAATAAACACATATAAACACCATAAACGGCCCCTGAAGCATAAAATTTGGGATATGATTAGATTTGATAGTTGATACCTCATGGAACCCATAAGATTCCAGTGGTTTTGATACGATTTGACTCTTAAAACCATTGGATTTGATAGGATTTGAGTCCTAAAATCTTATGGTCTTATGGAACCCATAAGATTCCATTGGATTAAAGTCCATCACACTTCGCGTTTGTGCATGCGTGCATGTGATGAATTTTATCAAGAATTTTGGATTAACAAAATGGATTTCAGCACAGGGGGTTGATCAATCATGTCCCAGCCAAACGGTTTATTAATCCTGGGGGACCACCTGTTTTTAGATTACAAAAAAATGGGCAGAGGGGAGGGGGTTGATTAATACCGCGGGGATTATAAATCCTAACTTGACATTACCTCAATCTATCCATTTCTATTTAGTTGTTTGGCATAAACTGGGTAAACTTTGCTGAATGGCAGGAACATCACCACCAGTCATATTATATATATATAATGGTTGCTTGGTAGGGGGAACCCAGGTGACGTGGATGTTGATGTTCGGACAGGGCGTCAGGACGCCCCAAAAGAAAGCGAAACATATGGGTCACTCATCATGAAATGTCATGTCTTGGCAGGATTAAGTCATATTTACTCATATTCGCAGCTGTTTATTGAATGGCATCCTGGAGTAATATGGAGTAATTACCCATGGCAACATATCTATGTTTTTTTCGAGGTTGGTGAATAGGGGAAGCTTGATGGGAAATTAGCACTGAGAAATGTGTCAGCATGGTGCAAACTCAGTGGTGGCTATATGTTGACATTTGCTGCAAGGGCAACAGCTCGCCATGGTTCTCTCTGTTTGTGATTTACCAAGCTAATAATCAAACATCTAGGTACGAAGTGTGATGATCACAGGGATGATGTTGGCACTGACTGGCTGGAAGACCCGGGCTGGATTATGCTGGATTGATTTTCTGAACCTCGAAGCCTTGAATCCTTGCTTCTGAGGGGGCCTTGAACCCATCAGGAGTACTAACCACGTTCTTTTTGATTTTGAATGATTTTGATTTCCGGAAGGAACTTGTTTTGCGCATTGCGCATGTCATCCATTTTCCTGGTGTGTTTGCTTCAATATTTCACCCGGGGAAGCGGTCGTTGGAATGGTCCTGTGATCCTGATGATCCAGAGAGGTTTGCCCCTTGCCGTGGTACCTCCTGCTGTCGGGACTTGTGGCTTGGCGATGACCAAAGGGACCCAGACATACCCAGATTGTCAAATCCCATGGCTCGTGTTGAATATTTTTAGTGCCCACGCAAGCTTTGTATATGAGTTATAGAGTATATTATATAGACTACTTGTTGAACGATAAACATATTTGTTTTTACTGATTAAAACCTCAACGGTCCCTGGATTCGAAAAACCGGTTGTGGAGTCGGCCAGTCAAAGGCTCCTGTTGTTTGCACGCGATGGTCCATTCAGCCAGGCATGAAGTGGATTCAGATTTAATTGCAATATTGACATACATTATGATGACACTTCACCAACCTGATTTAACGTCATTTTGGAAGACCTACCCCTACTAACCATATCTAATCATCATTGCAGTGAAGTCGCAGTGAAGTCGTTGTAACTTATTAACATTGTATGGTGTCTATATACTGTGCGTCTCATCACTCATCCTCAGTTGGTGGAGTGTGATTTTACATGTCACCGTGTCACCATGTGTCACCTTCAGTTTTCTCAGGCGCAGCCCTTCAAGAGTTTGGCGGGCGTTGCAGGTGGTTGATTTGGCGTTTTTGTTTGTCCTCCGGTGATCAAACTCCAACATGGCAATGGAAAAAAGATCGATTTGATTGGATTATTTTCCCATAGAACCTCCATTTTTGATGGGAATGCCCCATTGCCATGTTTGATTGCCAAAGGGTATCTTAGGAATCTCTAGGAGCACACAAGCCTAAATTGGCCAGGACCAGAATGACCAATGACAAATTCTCCTTCGATTCCATGTACATGATTTATTTGTGCATCTTGTGTATATAAATATATAATGTAATCATATATTTTTCAACACACAAGCACACACACACACATATATATATATATACATACATACATACATGTGTATATATATATATATATGTGTGTGTGTTTGCGTGGAGATATTACGTCAATATAATGTATAATTGCGAATCAGGGCGTTTGACATGCAAAGAAATGCAAAACATGTGATAGCCGGTGGGTGAGGTCAACCTCAGGAGATCTCAGGGGGTCTTTCACATGTTTTTTTCTGAACCCAAATGGGAAGCTTAATCCAACTTATCCACTGAAAATGTGGAGAAAATTGGAGGAGGCTTGAAACAAACCCAAACTATCCAAACTCTCCAAAATTCAATGAGGAGAGCATTTACAGGAAACCCATTTACAGATCCGAACAGTTAAAAAGAGCCAAGGTTTCCTATATAAGTTCTCCCTTCACCCCATCTCCCACCCCCCAGCCGGGCCTGCGGCAGGCAAGACGGTGAGTGCGGAACTGGAAAGACGTTTTGCCAGCCATCCCAATGCAGCTGGGCCAATGACTGGCAAGGGGTGGAAGTTATAAAATGGATCCCATGGGAGTTCAATGTGGTTGTGATTGGAATATGAATATTTCAGTGGGATTTTATGGGATGTTAATGCGTTAATGACCTCAGTAACAGGGTTACTCCAACCAATAGTGAATTATAGCAACTGGCAAGGGGAAATTGACTTATTTGGCGAATTTCCACCCTTCTTATATTTCGGGTATTTGGAGCAACCCTGAGCAAAGTACAAGGTGGAAGCTGGAAGTTTCAGGCCCCAATGATTTTGAAGTATTTTGGAGTCCAGTTTAATTCAGGTCCTGTCGGACATTCTTCGGGAATGTGCTCGGGGCTGTGAACATCACCAGACCATGCAACTATGGCAAGCCCCAATTCAACCAGCTGCGTTTCAGCTGCCTTTGATGGACCATGCATGCCTGGCAGATATCACCCACAGAACCATATAAATCAGGAAAGCCAGGGTCCAGGTGAGGTCGGCGTCTTGCAGCATCTTGCAGCGCAACCTCTCAGGTCGACTTGATCCATTTGAAGTCCTGCAAGAGGAATCGCGACACCGTGCCCCAGGGTTTGCTCCAGGGTGACCTCTGAGACGATTTCACTCGGTGTGTAGAGGGTCAGGAGCGGTATCCGTATTAGCCAAGGAGCTACCAAGAGTTTTCCAAACGCATGTGCCGCATGATAGTCTGATTCTGAGGGAGTTATTCCGAGCCAAAATGGTGGATTTTATATGACCTTCATGATTCCACCAGAACATTTGCGGGGCCACTTCCACTGTCAAGCGGGGGCCACTTTTCGGCCCCGGACCAGCAAACTCCAAGAGGTATTGAACCTGCTGAGCAGTATCCTTTGTGTTTGCTACGCGTTGCCTGTCACTGATGGCACTGGGTTCTGGTGCTGCCATACTGAGAAGCATTTGAGAAGCTTTTGAAGAAGAGTCGCGCAGAAAGTGTAGGATGGATGAGCAGTTGCGGTGATCTATAATCCATATGATCTATGACATGACATGCATGCAAGCAAAGCAAGAAGATCAAGAAGCGGGGGGAATTGGTGTCAGCCTCCCACAGGACTCGTGTTCAGCCAGCCATATCTACATCAGGCTGCGCCAAAACACAGTAGGGATAGACGGTTGCTGAAATCTGACTTGGGAAGGTTATACCATGTTATAGTATCTTACATATCCAATTTTGTTTTTGCATGTTATATAGTTTTATACACTCTATATGATTATAGTAAAACATATGTGTTATATATATATATTAGAAAAAAAAACAACAAACATGTCATAAATTATAGTAGCATTTGATTTTTGATACTCTTTTCTCAGGGTCATAGGGTCGGTGTAGCCACATTCTTTGCCGCATTTTGCCGCAAATGGTACGGTTGCCGAGGTTCCACATGTACAACTGCAGCATTGACCCAAGCTTGCCAGGACCAGTTCGCAGTTGACCCCCGCAAATTGGATCGTTGCTGATTTTTTGACAGACTTGGAGAATCCCAAATGGAGAAAGCCGGTGGATCGCCGGTGTAGCTGTGTACTTCTGGCAAGGTTCATGGTCGATGTCTCAAGCCAATGGAGGTCCAATCTCAACAGCCTCGGAGGAATGATCCTGACCTTCTTCATGCTCTTGTCCTTCAAGCTGGCCGCGGAAACTGGGACATTTCCGCAGATTTCACGGGGTAATTTTACATTTTTGGCTCATCAAACAGCTGTTTGTGAGTTTTGAAATCCCCAAAAATTGGCCAGACATGGCCACATGTGCCAATTCAATGGAAGCTCATGAAATCCAAGGCCAATGATCCTGGCTTGCTGAGTTGGAAAACGAATGCCAGGTGTATGAGGTGATGAGATAAAATGACAAGGAATCAGATAAAGAATGATAAAGTGACTGCTGCTGCTGTGTTGCTATTGCTGCTATTGCTCTTGGTAGTCCATAACAGTTGCCACAACATGACCTGACCGTTCCGAGGAGTACAAGAAGTCCCAGGTGGCGGCAAGAGTATTGACATCAGATCAGGCGAGTGGGCTCAGAGGCATAGATCTCATTTGATATTTTCTCAGTTGATTCGTAGAGGGAGACTCCCCCCCCCTTGTTTGGCACAGCTAATCGAACTTACATATGGCAAACATTGGCAAACAATGATGGCAAACTATGCCAAAACCAACGATCAAACCAAACTTCTGCGATGCGGCACGCAGGCGTCAGCGTCGTACGACCTCATTGAGGACGAAGCTTCCCATCAGCCGAGGCGGATAGATGTCGAATTATGGGACCGTTTCTTGCGCTCTTTTTGATTTTGAGATCAAGAACAACGATACCCGAAATGGTAAACTGTCCCATAACGAACTGGAAAGATCCACCATTTTCAATGGGGATTCATCCACTATAAATATGGTCATTTTCAATAGCTATGTTAAATTACCAGAGGGTAACTCTTCTAAATGTTTCTAAATTAGTTATATAGTGGTGCCGACAATCATTATAACATATTATAACTTGACAGTTGGCTGATGGACAGATCAGCAATAAACGTTGGGTTGAATAGGGATTGTCGATCATGTCGTATATATTTTCATGATTCCAACGTTCACTTGCAGGCCTGGCATGCGCTGTTACACTCATCACGGACCTTTTCACCATCCTTTTCTATGATGATCATTAATATTTATATAAGGAGGGCTAATTATTTTAGGATTTTTTTTTTGATCAGGTTTAGGAATTATTTTTGGATTCCTGCTTCTCTGCTTTTCCTGCTTCTCTGCTTTCCTGCTTTTCCTGCTTTTCCTGCTTTTCCTGCTTTTCCTGCTTCTCTGCTTTTCTGCTTTTTTGCTTTTCTGCTTCTCCTGCTTCTCGCCTTTTCTGTTTTTTTGCTTTTCTGCTTCTCCTGCTTCTCTGCTTTTTTGTTTTTCTGTTTTTCCTGTTTCTTTGCTTCTCTGCTTTTCCTGCTTCTCCTGCTTCTCTGCTTTTCCTGCTTCTTTGCCTTTCTGCTGTTTTGCTTTTGTGCGTTTCCTGTTTCTTTGCTTCTCTGCTTTTTTGCTTCTCTGCTTTTTTTTTTTGGCTTTGCCTGCTTTAAATACTTGATTTTCATGTAAGATGCATTTTGCACAGTATTTGCATCCCTGAGTATCACATGACCAACCTTCTCTTGAAAACTAGCAACGTAACATGTGAGAAGAGGTGCTTGCATTCTGCTTTGGGGGGAGGCGCCGCGCCCTCCCCCCAATCCCCCCCTCCCGCTTTTTTTAATTTAAACTTAAACCCAAGTTACATTAGTTGGTTTTTGCGAACTAACCTTCTCTGGAAAGCTGACAGGATTACATGTGATAGATAGATAGATAGATAGATAAATAGATAGATAGATACATAGATAGATAGATAGATACATAGATAGATAGATAGATAGATAGATAGCTTGGTAGACAGATAGCTAGATAGATAGATAGCCAGCTAGATAGATAGATAGCTAGAGAGATAGATAGCTAGATACCTCGATAGATAGATGGCTAGATAGATAGCTAGATACCTCGATAGATAGATGGCTAGATAGATAGCTAGATAGATAGATAGATAGCTAGCTAGATAGAATTAGATAGATAGCTAGGTAGCTAGATAGATAGATAGATAGCTAAATAGATAGGTAGATAGTTAGCTAGATAGATAGATAGATAGATAGCTAGATAGATAGCTCGATAGCTAGATAGCTGGATAGACAGCTGGATGGCTAGATAGATAGATAGCTAGATAGATAGAAAGCTAGATAGCTAGATAGCTAGATAGATAGTTAGCTAGATAGCTCGATAGCTAGATAGCTCGATAGACAGCTGGATGGCTAGATAGATAGATAGCTAGATAGATAGAAAACTAGATAGCTAGATAGCTAGATAGATAGTTAGCTAGATAGCTAGATAGGTAGATAGATAGCTAGCAAGATAGCTAGCTAGATAGGTAGATAGATAGCTAGATAGATAGATAGCTTGCTAGATAGATAGCTAGCTTGCTAGATAGATAGCTAGCCAGATAGCTAGATAGCTAGCTAGCTGGATAGATAGCTAGCGCCCTCCCTCAATCCCCCCCACCCGCTTTTTATCTAATCCCAAGCTTCTGCATCTGTAAATATTTGGGTGAACATGCTCACATGTAGAACATCCCATGCAAAATGGAAGGTGAACATGCCAAAATGTGGCAAATACCATACAAAATGGAAGGTGAACATGCCCATATGTAGGAAATCCCATGCAAAATGGAAGGTGAACATGCCAAAATGTGGCAAATGCCATACAAAATGGAAGGTGAACATGCCCACATGTAGGAAATCCCATGCAAAATGGAAGGTGAACATGCCCAAATGTGGCAAATACCATGCAAAATTAATGCAAAATGACAAATTCAAGTTCCAAACCGTTGCAAACACTAGGCAAATGGTACCAGCCAAGAAATCCAAAAAAAAATCCCAAACCTGTTCAAAAAAAAAATCCTAAAACTATTTCACACCCTTTATATAATGCAATATATGATGAACATTTTATATTGTCCCCAATAGTTGGGATGATGATCCAATCTGGCCAATATTTTTCAGGGGGGTTGAGACCACCAATTAAGTTAGTATAGTAATTTCAACCCAGGACTCCTAAACCAGCACAGAATATTCATGTCGGGAAGGTAATGATACGGAAATTCATGGATGAAGGCCAAAGTATATCCCGTGGTGCTTCCAGGATGGAGCCTCAAGGCACAGAGCAATCCTCGGAGGTTCCCACGCATCGCTTCACTGCAAAGAGACTTGGTGATCGCAACGGGGCGATGGGGTGGTGCTGGATGATATGATGCTTTTGTATATTTTTGTATGTTGTTATGTTGTTATATATGTTTGATTATGTCTCTTTCGTTAATCCTCAATCCTCAGCATCAGATTTTAAATATAGAGAAAGAGAGAGGGAGAGAGGGATTCAGCCGGCAAGACATAGCAACACATGCGTATTTCCCATGATTCAACCATCAAACGTTTACACAGAGAGCTTGCCAACAAGACTTTGTCGATGGGAATTCTAGCACCGAGGGAACTGCCTCACGGGATTGACCAAGGGATGCCGGTGAACAAGCCTTTTAAGGTTTCATAGCCAGGCACTACCAGACCGGTTTTGTTGGACTTTTTTTGATGAACCTCTTTGCCTTTAGTATTTGAGGAATGGAGAGTTGACCATACTGAATAATAGAATTTGAACATCTCTATCATAGAGATACATTTATTCCATTTTATTCCCCCGTCATTCATTTTTTGATGAAAGTTTCTGAGTGAATTTCAATGGGTCATTGGTTTCAAGGAGACGGCATCTCTATCATACAGGGCTCAAGCTCCCAGGTCGTATTCGTTCTTAGGGAAGCCCGAAGAATTAGGTCTTATGCTCTAGTTGCACATCATTTCGAGAAATTTCACCTGTTTTGTTTGAGATCCAAATTACCATCTGGTTATTTAATATAGCCATGGAAAATCACCATGCTATTAAGAACGGTAAACCATCTATGTTTGAGATCCAAATTCGTTCAAGGCACATAAGTGGACATCTTCCACTGATTTTGACACTTGAATTGTTTCCCCCCAAGTCCTCCACTCGTCATGGATGACGTCTTCTCGTATAGCTTTACATTCATGATGACTGGGGAGTTGGGATCCCCCAGAATTTTACGAAACCCCATTGGTCAATGCTATCTCCAGAAAAATTGTAGAAAACATCCATATTTTGGTGGTTCAATCCCAGGTAAATCATCATCTATAAATGGTTGAACCCCCTATCCTATTCAACCATGGCTGGCACTGCCAAAAAAAACACATCAAATATGTATAGGTTTATAGCTGAGAATATCATTCAAAAAAGAACTCAATGGGTGTTTTTCGTGATTTTCCACTGACTTTGACATGGTTTAGCATGACCAGTCCGACCTTCAGCTCAACGCCAGGAAGTTTGCTTGGACTTTGCTGCTGGTCGCGGCCGAAGCAGCTGCATCTCGGAGCGGTTCGGAGCGAAGGTGGTGATCAATGGTGATAATGTAGTTAGATGTTTGAAATATATACATACATACATGCATGTTTATATAGTGATATATATATATATATATATGATCTATTTCTATATATGTACATGTGTGTGTGTGTGCGCGTGTGCGTGTGCGCGTGTGCGTGTGTATGTGCTTGTGTGTGTGTAAGAGTTTGTGGTGAGTTTTTGGCCCTTGTTTCACTGAGAGATCAACTCGATGAGTCAGTAATATACATATATATAATTATATATAAATATGCATAGTTAGATGGGGTTTGAATACTTCAAACTTATAACGCCCTAAAACTAGAGCTAGGGACTAGGGGGCACCACCTTGTAGTTCTCCAGTGGTTGGGAGGGAGAAAGTCGGAGCTCAGGGATTCAGGGAATCCATGTTCCCAGGCGCATGATAGACAATGGGATATGGGAATACTTGATGGGGATATTGATGGCCATGCTTAATGGAGACATGAATATATCTCAATTGATTGGTTGGAGGTAAAATCTGAAGGATACACCTAGATTTGAGGGTCAAACGATGGGTTCCCGTGTGTTTTGTTCCTTTTTCACGAACCCAGTGAATATCACCAATGATATGAGGTGGGCATGGTTGAAAATGGAGCATACCTCAAACTTGGTCTATTAATGATGTTATAAAGGGGAATGCAATGATCAACTATGGACCATCGGCGGTTCTATTTTTCATTGAGACAAGCCAAACAATTGCTGGGCATGACACCTATATTGGTTTTCCCCATAAGGGAATTTTTCGGATCCCATCGATCCACCTAGCGGACACTGAAGGTTTTTTTTTTTACCCACCATATCTCGAGATATAGCCGAAATGGTAAACTGTCCTATAACGAACTGGAAAGATCCACCATGTTTAATGGGAAAATCCACTATAAATGGTCATTTTCAATAGCTATGTTAAATTACCAGAGGTTAATTTAGCATATATATATGATATATATATATATATATCATTTGGTTTATATATTTCACGACATATATGTTTTTTGTTTCATTTGACCATCATTAAATCACCCATTAGATAAGTTGGTTCTATCAAATCCAATTATCATGATAGATCATTATTAATAGCATATCTCATGATATTCCCAGTCTTCTCCCAATCGTATATTTTGAACTGGCAAAGTAACATACACCCTCCGGTTCTCAAACATAGGAATGGAAAGCCCACCACGTAGTTCAATGAATTTCTCATTACAACCTCATTGTCCATATGTTTCCCATGATTTTCCCATTGTTTTCCAATGATTTTCTCATGATTTTCTCATGATTTTCCCATGAATTTCCCATGAATGTCCCATGATTTTCCCATGATTTTCCCATGATTTTCTCATGAATTTCCCATGATTTATAGCGGATTTTCCCGCCACCTTTGACACCGGCACCCCCCCAGCCACGGTGTTAAGCTGGCTTCCCAAGGTCTACGGGGGCCTGGTGACCACCTTGTCGGCCAGCAAGGATCAACTGGAACCCTGCACTGAAAGGCGGGTCACTGGGGAATGGATAGCAGCTGAACTTCGGATACAAAAACATACTGGAATTACCATCTGGTTATTTAACATAGCCATGGTATAGATGGCCCATTTATAGATGATTTTCCCATTAAAACCTCCATTTATGAGGGATTTTCCATGGCTATGTTAAATAACCAGATGGCATAACTAAGGATAAGGAACATGTGTGGATAGCTGATGAATAAGAACAATTATAACATACTGGAATTATATGCATCCAAAGTCTAAGGAAAACTGGTGGATCAGTGATGGATTATTAAAAAACATGTTCATTATTATTCATATTCAGTTTTTTTTTACATCGCAAAGACTATAGACCAAAATGGATGGTAAACCCAGGTGAATGGTTTAGGAAGTAGTTCCACGGCCCTGATTTTCATTTCCGCCAAAAATGGGCTCCCCAGATGAATATCCAATTCCAAACCAGGTTTAGGAAGGAATTGCCAAACCCACAGGGGAGACATGGTGTTCTTAACATGCCGCAGAGTCCAAGAATGTGGACAGACCCTATAATCAACCTTGGAGCAACTAAGAGTGAGGAGATTATCAGAATTTATCAGATGTGATCCAATAAAATTATATAAGATGGTGAAGAAACATCCGAAACCTTGCAATAAATGGTGTATTTTTTCATGGTGGCCATTGGTGATCCGACAGCCACGTAAACAGCTAAATCAAATCATGGGATTTTGAGCAGCTAGACAATGTGAGCGCGACGTAAATTGCCTATTTTTTACTCGGTAAAACGCAACAAAACAAGGATATGTTTGCCATATAATATATAACTATATAATATATATATATAGTTATATATATAATATATATATATATATACGTCCATATGTAGAATATTTCCATATATATGAATCCTGATATGTCCATATTATGGAATATCTTCTGCCAGCCATATATGGAAGTATTACCATTCATATAGACTCTATAGAGGGGTGATGTTCACCCTTGTGAGGTGTCAATAGAGGGGTCAGCCAGGCACTCAGCTCCCCGCAGCAGGTGTTTGCAGTTCAAGTTTTTCGGCGACGGCTCAGCAATTCCTGGCACTGGCATGTTCCCCTTTCCCGTAAAGAACGGACAGGTGCGACAGCGCGAGATGTCTCAGTTGGGAAGTGGTGAAGAACATTGAAACACATGTGTAATATACATAGCTAATAGGTCAACCAATAACAGCTAACATCTAACCAGAATCTAACCTTTTAACATCGTTGAACTGTATCAATGTATAACGTTCATATAGTCAACCTTTGTGGCTTAACCAGCACCCCAGTTGCGATCCGCCTCAAGTGGTGGTGAATCCCCGTCGCGGCGTCGCCGATTTGGAGATCTGGGAGATGATGTTCCTCTTGGACAGTTTGATTTCTATTTGAGTGTATACATCTATTATATTATATTTAACACACAAATATATATATATACATATATATATATACACATGTGTACATATATATATATAATACATATGTATGTTTGGGGTTCTCAACTCAACTTGCTGGGTTTTTCAAAAGCGGGCCAGCGGAAAAGTGGATTGGCTTCTGTGACAGAATCCCAAGCAGATTCATTTTTTAATAAGCATGGTTTTCTCTCTGGTATGAGGTATGGGAAGCGCAAGTGCTTTGATTTGGAAATTCTAAAAGCGTTCAAAATTGCAGATGATTCCACTATTCTATGGGATTTGGAATGTGGCCAACCAGCAGAAACAGCACATACCAGATTCCCTTGGTCGGGGATACTTGAGCTTATCGCTGCATGAACAGTGTCATCGCCATTTGCCAAGCATATTCCCATCATGATCAATGAATTTTAAGTACAAGGTGGTGCCCCCTAGATAGCTAAGTTGGTTTATAACTCCAATAACTATGGTTTATAGGTGATATATCTATAGTTAATGGGATTATAAACCAACTTATAACTGGGGGGGCACCACCTTGTAGAGTGTGCGGGGAACCCCCCTAACCTTTCGAAGCTATCCCCCGACAATAGGGATTGAACAAGTCACAAGAGTAAGGGTTGGAGGTGTTTTTTTCAGCCCTCCTTGGGGGCTTATCACCTTCAAAGTCGGCCACGAACTGGCCATCCACAATATGATCATATTGGGGTGCCCAATATAACTATCCCATACTATCCCCAAATATGTGGCTTACCCTCTGGTAAGCATACAAACAACTATTGAAAATGGAAATAGTTGATGCCAAAATGGTGATGTTCCATAGTTGGTTGCATGCTTACCGGTCATAGAAATAGTTGATTTAGCCATTAAACAAACATTGTGATTTTCCATAGTTGTTTGTATGTTGACCAGAGGCTCATTATTGGATTGCCAGTATCCAGAGGGTCCCGGGTTGACTTTGAAGGTTGGTGTTCCAGGACCAGCGACTTCTCTCCGAGACCTGCGTCTCCTATGGCGGAATGGACTGTGACGCCTTCATCGGAGCCTGTAGGTGCCGCTGCTGTGGCAGCCGCTGGGGGGCCGCTGTGAAGTCATAGCATCTCAAACGCGAAGTGAACAGTGAAGATCTGCAAAGAAACGTGTTTGGTGGACTTTGCTGAGAATCTTGACGGTGTGTCCGTTCTGTACCTCATAGTCAGTCATAGTCCTTTCTTCTTGGCTGTTTGCCTTGTGTCTCCGTTTTTTTCTTTCATGACTCATTGTTGATTTGTCCCCCTGTAGCTAGCCAAAATTCCACGTTTGCTCGTGAAGATTGTAGATTGCACCGTTCGGCAATGTTGCTCCTCAAAACCTTTTATAGTGAAACTCAGGGAAACCTTGAGTAGATACATCAGCAATCAGCAATTGTTTTTTCCTCCCAACTGGCACGCAGTAACTAAGGATCTCAGAAGGGATTCCCAACTGCATGATACTTTCAGAATGTCTCAGTCATGTGATGCGTGTACACGGCACGTATATATATATATATAGTATATAGTCTATATAGTTTGGTCTCCCCCTTTCGCCTTGATCTTTTGCCACAAATGGGATAAATCGTCCGCGAAACGCAGCGCTGCGCAGTGTCTCCAGATGTGAAGAGCGGCACGTGCGACGCATGGTGGAAGATCGATTGAGCCTCGCCTGTGACCAAGTACTTGGTGGCGAACTACCCACGAATCCGAATCGGTAGGTTAGTTCGCCCATGACCTTTTTTTTTGCAAGTGGATTAAGGCAAGTCCCACTATATCCCACTAAGCAGGGATAGAACTTTGATATAATCTACTTAGTAAGTGGCACAGTGGCACCCTGGGGATCGGATTGGATGGATCCAAAGATATCCTAAGCATGTATCCTCCCGAATAAAGGTTGCTCCGGAGGACCATCCCAGTGTTTAACTAGCTGTATCTAGCTAATCACCTGGGCTAATAAATCCCCACTTCCTCTCCTGGGGTGATTAAGCATTAGCTGGGTCCATACTCCCACTGACTCACCATATACTAATAAGATATATAAGTCCATAGAATTTTATAGAGACCGATGGATCCCCCTACGAATCAATCTAATACTGTAAGATAATATCTATATCTATATCTGTGTATAATATATATATATATATCTATCTATCTATCTATCTATATATACATAAGTCCACGGATTTTATAGGAAATCCTACCCTTTAATTCCCATAATCTTCCCGTTGGGGTTTCTGGAGGTAGAGCTTTTTTGGGGTCCCATCCGCAGTCAGGAGCCGTTCCAAGTCTAAGATGGGCTTCATCGCTTCGATTGCCGTGTATTCCGCGCCCTGGCAGGACGGCAGGACGTGGTATTGTTTTGCAGTGGGCTTATGATAGTAATATGATAGTAATCATGAATATGAATACATTATTATACATTGGAATGTATTGAAACGCTAGGATCATGTTTTTTGGCCATCATGTAAAACACCCATCAGTTCAGTTCATTGCCATGGTGGGGACAGCGAAGTAATGAAATGTAAGGACCTTGTCTCAAGTAACTAAGTAGGATTAACTGGTTAAGTAGGATTAACTGGTTGGTGGTTTGGAACATGGCTTTTATTTTTCCATATATTGGGAATTTCATCATCCCAACTGACTTTCATATTTTTCAGAGGGGTTGAAACCACCAACCAGGTAGGATCAAGATTGTGTAAGACAGGATGTGCTTGAAGCTTGTGGAAACGTGATTGCTGTGGCAGTTGGTTTTGGGTTTGTGGATTGATGCATCACCAACTTTATGTATTGTCTAAGCATTGGATGAAAACAACAGGAAACCAACAGATTGGGGCTACAACAACTTTAGTTTCTCTAGATTTGCCCCGAACCAATCCATTAATTGATAGTGCTTGATTTTGTTAGTTGATATCAGTTTTGGATGGTGATCTCCCAAAATGCCCCATTAAATCAACGATTGAACCTATAACTGCTATACACAACCCCCCCAAATCCCTATAAATCATCCAAATCCATCCAGGTTCCTATAATTCTCCCAAGATGCCTATAATTTCCCATAGATCAAGCGTTGATCCCTATAAATCCCTATAATTTCCCATAGCTCAAGCGTGAAGCTATGATTTTTCTTGGTTCATCAACGTTTTTTCAAAATCGAGGCTCTAAACTTGGCACATGACCTGGGATTAGAGGCGCACTTGCTGGGACCCAACGATGTGCCTCGGCCGGATGGCATGGGGCGTCCGCATGTGCTGCAACCCTTGAGACGTGGCACTTTTGCATGCCGCTCAAGGCGGTGATGCTCCAGATCTTCGCTTCACTTTCCATGGCCGTTATGGCAGCCTGCGCATTGATGTGGGCTTCTGGTGCCATGGAGCCTGGGTGAAAATGCCATAGAACAATTGCTCAATTGCCATGGAAAATCCAAATGTAAATCATCTAGGGTTATCCCAAAATAGCCATAAACTTCAGATTGATGACATAATATAATTTACCCAAATATATCCGAATATGATTTTTCATGGCGATGTGCAATTTCCAGAGGGGAATCTGTTCAATGGCCATTTCAGGAACCTAAAATTGGGTGTACCTTTATGTTCACCTCAATTGCTTATTATACTAATGATTTTTAAACTTGAAAAACATGCAAAAAAAAGGAAAACACATGGAAAATCAAAAAGCAAAACTTCAAAACTGAAAAAAACCGGAAGCAAAATAAATGGGGAAAAAAAGGAGCGTCAAAACGGGAAAAACAATGGGAAGAAAAATTGTCCATTTGCATTTTTTTTGCATTTATTTCGCTTTTTCAATTTGCTTTGTTTTTGCTTTTATTTTGCTTGTTTTTTTCCATGCAAAAAACAAAAAAACAAAATAAAAGAAAACAATGCAAATGGACAAATATGTGTTTTTCCCTTTTTGTTTTTCCTTTTTTCCCTCTTTATTTTGCTTTTGTGTTTTTGGATTTTGCTGATTTGCTTTTTAGTTTTTCCTTTTTTTTTGCCTTTGTCGCGCTTTTTTTCAAGTTTTAAAAAATTAGAATAATGGGTGGTCTGGCCGACATAAGGGTACCTACCATATGTAAGGCCTACGTAAGGGAATATCCCCAGAAAATATGCCCTTAATATGGTACAGTACCTCCATGTTAGGATCCTGAAATTCCCATTGACCTTTTGCCATGTACATGGGGATATTCGCCTTTTTTTTTTCTCCTAAACCAGCTGAAAACAAGAAAATTACTGTAGGAGGAGACCTAAGATTGGCCGTGATTGCTGGGACTTTTCGAGCCTTTTTGCAATTCATTCTTTTGTTTTGCGGGGGTGGACCAATTTTGACCCAAGCACACCTGGAACCCCTTGGTTGGAGTCCCATCTTTGTGCCGACAGCATGTCCGTAGATCTCACTTTTGTATTGAAACCTTGAGTTAGTTTGGTAGCTTTTTCCGTTACCTGTAGACATACGTATGCAATGGTTAACACATGCATGCATACATGCATACAAACAGACAGACAGACAGACAGAAACAGACAGACACAGACAGAGACACAGACAGACACACAGACAGACACACACACACACAGAACAGACACACACACACACAGACAGACAAAGACACAGACAGACAGACAGACAGACAGACAGCCAGCCAGCCAGCCAGGCAGGCAGACAGACAGCCAGCCAGCCAGCCAGGCAGGCAGTCAGACAGACAGCCAGCCAGCCAGCCAGGCAGGCAGACAGACAGCCAGCCAGCCAGCCAGGCAGGCAGGTTGACAGCCAGCCAGCCAGGCAGGCAGGGAGACAGACAGCAGACATACAAAGATGTCGCCCATGCGTCATCGTGATCTTTCTTTTTTTGCTGGCTTTATCCCCCAGCCTGTTGAAACGATTTGAAATGCACACTATGGACACACACGCACACGTAAACGCAATCCTCAGGAGCTGTTCTACAGTCCCTCCGAGTCCTGTGGCTGTTCCTGGCACCAACTCTGGCGGTAGGTTCACTTGATGGATTCAAGGGAAAAGAACTGAAACACCTGCAGGAAATCACGGTTTTTGCAATTCAAAACTGGCGGATGAATCTAGGTTTTCAAAATCTGCGATCAGTGCATTCGTTGGGATCAGTGCATTCGTTGTGGCTTCTTTTGGGGATATGTTGAAATTCCCAGCTGGAAATTAGTGTTTTTTGAAGTTAGTATATTATACAATATATCTAAGAACGGCCTTGCTACAGCCTTCGGTATCACGAATCCCCATTGATTTGTGCAGTTCATCAACGCTTGTTGATCAATCTAAACCACGTGCTTTGCTTTGAACACATTTCCCCCCACATTCAAAAAGTAATGGTTACATCATGCTGGCATGTACATCTAGTTTCAGAACTAACAAAGTGAATACCTTTCGGCAATTTAAAAGTTCGCTGTGGAAAAAGAACGCACATATATATAATTATATATACCTAGACCTTCAATTGTAACACTTTTTTCTGCTACGAGAAAAAACCATATCAATTAGCCCAGAAAGTGTAACCTATAGGAAAAAACGCTCGACCCCAAAAAAATCTGCTCGAAAGATCACCTACAACATCAGCACTACTGACAATGTGGATGCTTTGGTCATGAAGAACTTCCCAGAGTGTGTCAGGCACTCAGATTTTTCCACGCGATCCTCAGAGATCTTCACCTCAGCAGGTCTCAGGCTACTTGTTTCCGTAGCATCCCCTATTAGTTATCAAAAAGGATCCTTTGGTATCTCATCAATATCCTTGTGAAACTTCGCGGCACTGTTGTCCAATCATGGGTTCGACGCGTCACTCGACTCACCTGTCCAATAAAGTCCTCATCCTGCCATGCGGCAAAACCTAGCGCAGTTGCGTGTGTAAATATGGTCATCACAAAGTGCCAAGCACACACCTTTGAAAGATGAGTATTGTTGTTTCCAAGATGCTTAATGGATTGATTGCGTACGGACTCTGCTGGCATTGCTGTGCAAGCTCATGCCTCATCCAGCACTTGCTAATATATTATTTGTTTGAAACCATGAATGCATGCACACACTTCATAAATTCACTTAGCATAAAACTGCCAAGACGCACAACATGCTCGTGCATGTGCAGTTTTGGCCTTATTCGATATAAAACCCATGACCTGGAAGCCGACATTGAAGCGAGAGATCCATACCCTTCCTTAGGCGCATATACACACAGGTGGATTTTGTTTTCCCACCCAAAAAACAATAGATATCCAAATGGGTGTGAAATAATTATCCTAGCTTCGGTAAGTCCCCATGCCATTGGTGCAACTGCTGCTCCATTCACTGATGGAATGAGCACTCCAAATTTGTAAAGCTCACGAAACCACAGGTTCCCACAGTCCGCTGTGTATTTCAGCACGTTGAAGAAGTCTTGGTCCGAAGGGTCCTGAGATGTTGAACTATCCACCAATTATGTTCCAAGTAACTTGGGTTAAGTAAGTGAGGTTGATTGCATCAGACAGTTTTCAGAACAAATGCAACTAGAGTTCTAAGTTCCCAGGATCACATTGGCCGCATACAAAGGATAGCCATTTGTGGACAACAATGCAGTCGTGCCCCTTTCCACTCAACAACGGGTACTGTTGCAACCTGAACAATTTGGGAGGCAGCATGACAACAATCATGCATCAAAACTAGTCTATATTGTTGCTGCAATCACTGAGTTGTAAAAGCAATTAATCAAGACAGTGGTAGCGCCAAGAAACGACTGTACTTTTAGCGAATGGAGTGAGAAGTCTTTCAATTGCACATGTTCTTTTGCAAAGTAGCACCATTCCCGAAAGTGGTCGTGAGCCTTTTCAAGTCTCTTGGGTATGGCACCATTGCCAAAAAAACCAAGCCTGCACAACACAACAATCGAGCTAGCGCAGAAATCTTTCCCAACACCAATAGCCCATGTATGGGCCAGATCAATGCGTATCCTTGTTGGGCACGCTGCACCTGGAAGGCTGAGAATGATTGACCTTTGTGGCTTCCATGGTTCAGGGGTGTCCGCAAGGTTCCAACCACGAAGACAAGTGTTTTTCTCGCCAAAGAGATGCCAATCCTAGGGTTGATCCATTTTGGCAACATAAAAGACATGGGTCTTGTTGGATACAATATACAGCAAAATATGTGAAAATTATTCGGTCTATATAGTTGGGAAACCTCTTCATTGCATAAATGGCAAAGGCGAAGTGATCGAAATCCACTGGCTAAACCCATCATTTTGCGGAGGTAAGGCCAATCACCCTTGCACCCGAGGTAGATGAAGTGGAACGTCTGGTCCTTCACCTTGCGGCCGCCAGGGACCCAAGTTGGACAGAGGAGGGGTTTCATGGTTTAGCTGTATGGATAAGGAAGCATGCAACCACTAGCCTTCACCCCAGTGTGGTAGCAATAGGTCAAGTCATCCACCATAAAATGGTTCATATCGTCCAGTGTCCGGTCTCTCTTGGCCATGATCTTGCTCGGCATGATGGAGGCCAACAGTCTTGTGGTAAAGGAATGCCTTGCCAGAAAATACTTTGTGTGCAAATTCAATGAAGGAAGCAAACGTGTTTCATTATGGAGGTCCAACTAAAGCAGTTGAGTTACCCATGCATATTTGTTGTTTCCAATCCTCCCTTCGGAATGAGCATTTGGTAGCTTGTGACCAGCACTGGTCTCTTGGCCTTACCTCTGCCTTCGTCACCGTGCAAACAGTATGGCACAAGGTTCCCCCAGGATGACCTGGGAAAGTCTGCAAAGACAGGGTGTCCCCCATCAAGCTTTGAATAGGTTTCCCAGAATGTGCAGTAGGTTTTTTGGTAGTCAGTGTCGAGCGAGTTCCCGCCAAGTACAAATTCAGGTGCCTCTCGAAGTAAGTACTCTGCCCATGCCTTCAAACCAATCATTGGGAAGTTCCTGACCACCTCTTTCATCTTGGGTCGATGCTCAAGTACTCTGAGTTTCACTGTTGACACTTCCACAGGTAAGGTTTTTTTTTCCCGGTTGATCCAAGCATGAAAGTTTCGGGATATGTTGCGAAACCCTTTGGATGAAGTAGGCCCGGCTCTGCCAATCTTCTCCAGGTCCGGGTCAAACACTCCTGACATATCTAAAGTTCACAGATCCCCTAAAATATTTCTCAGTTCACATATAAATCCATCAAGATAATAATGCATTGAAGCGTCCTAGTTTCCGCATTCTGTTGGAAGAGACCCTCGCAAGTCTCACAACTCGACGGGCAGACTCAGCCTAGATTTCAATTTGCATGGATGGACCAAAAGAAACATGCTTGGATTTGATTTTGTTTGCCTCCAAAAAACTCCATCTTCAAAACCCCGAACCAGTTCTGTAGCTAAGTCCGAAGTAGTACCATCAGAATCAGAGCCAGAAGAGCTCGATGATCTTCCTTAGCCAATCATTTTCTAAACCCTAGATGGTATCTAACATATCTGTCACCCAACTTGTGCCACGGTTTTGCTGAGATTGGATCGCCGGCGATCTTCTTTCTGCTGCAAGACAGAAGGCAGCACACCTGCGTGGGGGTGGGCCATATTTAAAAGAATAGTGGAATTAGAAACTTGAATTCATCACTTGAGCATCACTTGAGACTTCAGCATAGACATTTCTTCATTCATTTTTCACATCGAGCGCCACTCCAACACTTCTGACAGCGACGTGTTCCCCCACGTGGCTGGTGCTATGGCTAGTTCTTTGAGAGAAAGGTCATCAACATTTCAGTTGATCAAGCTTTAAAGAAAGCTTGGACCAAATCAAAATAATTTCTTGTATAGCTACGGTAAATCTTTTAGTCCTCATCTTCATCAGGCTCTTCAGTTTTGGTAGCCCGACGCTTGGAAGAGCTAGCTTTGGCCTTCCCCTTTGCACGTGCCTTTGCCTTTGCCTTTGCCTTCCCGGCAGCCTTCGGCTGTGGTGATGGCAGGCTCGGCGGAGATCTCATGCTGCTCGACGGCTTCACTGCGGCAGGCTTCTGCACATTCCTGGCCAATGGTGGTGGCATGCTGGTTGGTCAGGATTTGGGAATGATCTTTGAATAAATAGGCAAAGTAAAATGCTTTGAGAATAAAACCTGATTTAAACATGCATGATCGGCTTGGCTCGTTGGATCAAGTTGTTCAAGGCAACATCTTTTTTTGTGATTTCCACGGTCTTGGCTTTGAGCTTCTTCAAGTCACACCTACATTTTTTGAAGAACTCCTAAAATCACAAGAGGCATAGCAGGTTGACATTTTACTTGGATTGTTTTTGACATTTATTTGGAATACCTTGGAATGTTGAAGAAACACCGGGCACACGCCAACCATGGCGTCAGCTTGAAAGGTGGCCATCTCATCGTAGAACGTTGCCATTTCCTTCAGGACACCCTCCATTTGGGTGGCCATCCTGGGCTGGGCTGGTAAGGGACCAACTTCTGAAGTATCGCTGTCGATGCTTTAAAAAACTGTCCCAGGAAGGGCCCATGATTTTGTTGCATACAAGAAACTGGACGGCTCTCGGGAATCCTTTTTCCTTCAGCTTGTCCTGCAAAAGAGGGGTTGGTGAAACAGGGATGGTAGGGACTTTGATCCATAATAATCCATAATATATTTAACGATGGGATAAGGTAAACATTGATCTACATACAGCTATAAGGTCCTTTTCGCGCTCTGACTTGTCGATCTTTTGCCCAAGGGTGTCCAAAAAGGCTGGGATCACTGAAAGTGCAGAAGCATTTTCCTGAATTGCTGGGAAGATAAGCCTAGGTTCCACAGTTGGCACGAATGCCAAACAGAATATGTTCTACTTGCGCATTGAGTCTTGCAGTGCGATAAAGAAACTTAAAGGAAGCTGAGCTTTCCTTCAACATATCTTGTTGATGGTCTTCGGCTGAATCCAGTTCCGGTAGTAAGCGGGAATGGGTATCAGGGATCACGTCTGTGTCCATAAGTGATCCGGTCGGGTCCTGGTCCATGT